ACTTTGTAGACCAGGCTGGCCTCGAACTCATAAAGATCCTCCTGCCTCTGCTTCCCCAGTGCTGGGATTAAAGGCGTGCACCACCACCGCCCGGCGAGACTGTGGTATCTTGTCCCATGTGCTGCTATTGTAATCGGGAAATAGACTTGGAGCTGAAACCTACCTGTACAGTGTTGGTAAAAGGAAGCTGGGGAGATGATCAGAGGTTAAGAACACTGGCTTCGCTTCCAGAGGACCCAGGTTTGATTTCCAGCATCCACATAGCAGTTAACAACTGTCCATAACTCTGGTACTAGGGGACTCAGCACCTTCTTCTGGCCTCCTTGGGCACCAGGCATGCACATAATACACAGATATACATGCAGGCAAAATATGAAGTCTCACCAACATGGCTGCCTAAACATGACCTGAACAGGGATAACGCCAATAGACATGCTAACATGGAAAAGGTCATGAGGCCTCAACCCTAGACCAAGAGCTACAGGCAGCTAAGGAATGCTGAGATTGGGAGAAATAATATTCCCCAGAGAAGAGCATATCCAATACCAAATGGTTAGCCCTGAAAACACACATACAAGTAATAGTATACAGACAGAGCATGTTGTATTTATGAATTTAGAAATACATACATAAGTGTATAAAACAAAGTGAAAGAAAGAGGGGTCATGAATCTGAAAGAGAGTAAAGGCATTGGGGGGATGATGCATGGGGGAGTTTGGAGGAAGGAAAGGGAAAGGAGAGATTGTATAACTATATTATAATCTCAAAAAATAGAATAATTTGAAACAATCAAAACCCCCACTCATACAAATAAGTAAGTAAAGTTTTTAAAATAGCCTTGGTAAGAGCTTGACTATGTTTGAGTCTAAGGACTGCTGCAGAGATGTGAAATCCTGCCTTTGTTTCTTATCCACAAAAGAAGAACAAGTTGTTCTCCTTTCAGAATTTTCATAAGCAGTCAATGGGGTTTTGAATGTTTTGAAGAGCGAGGCCTGCAGAACTGGTCAACTCACAAATGAGCTACTTTCCCCTCCTAAGATTTATTTATCTATTTATACAGTGCTTTGCATATACATCTGCACATCAGAAAAGGGCATCGATTCCTTTATATGTGAGCCACCAGGTGAGTGCTGGGAATTGAACTCAGGACCTCTGGAAGAGCAGCAGTGCTCTTAACCACTAAACCATCTCTCTGGTCCCATAAATGAGCCAATTCTTTTCCAGCATCTCTTCTATGGAGCTCTGCCCATGGCTAGATAACCCTGATTTCTTAGTTTTTCTCTACGCTAAGCAAGAGCAATTGCTTAGGAGAAGGAGCACAGACTAGGAATTGGGTGACCTGGGTTTGAGTCTTGGTTTTATTAGTTGCTGACTGTGAGATATGCGAGGCGATAGGTCTCAATTCCCCTGTCTGCGTGTACTGACCTCTTAGGGTTGCCTGAGGGATATATGAGAGCATAAATACACGAATGCTTTTTCAGTCCTAACGCTCTGCCCCAGTGAAAGTTATTTATCCAACAACATAGTTTGATGTGTGCCAGGTGGTCAGGGCGCAAAGGCAATGGAAATGTGATCTCCCTTAGCTCCTCGTGTGATGAGATAAACAAGCAAATGGGTAATTACAACACCATGTGTGAGTGCCCTATCAGGAGGAGCAGGATACTCAGAGGACAAAGAACACTATGTTGCTTATCTATTGTTACAAAACAAATTACCACCCAAACTTCGCTGCATGAAAAGGCACCCATCCATAAGTTTACATCATTTCTGCATATGAGGACTCTGAGACTAGACAGGCTGGCTAGTTATGGCTCATGATCTGTCCTAAGTCAAACCACTGCTTCCACAAACTAGACTAGGGGGCTGGAGACATGGCTCAGTGGTTAAGAGCACTGGCTGCTCTTCCAGAGGACCTGGGTTTGATTCCCAGCACCCACATGGTAGCTCAGAACCATCTGTAACTCCAATTCTGGAGGATCTGACACCTTTTTTCTGGCCTCCATGGACACTGCACACATGTGGTGTACAGTCATACATGCAGACAAAACACCCATACACATAAAATAAAAATAAATTAAAATCTCAACAAACAAACTAGACTAGACATAAAAAATGCATTTTTAACTTCACTCCAGTGGTTGTCCACAAGGGGCTTTTGTTACTCTCCACATGGGCTTCTCAGAACCTATCTCTCTTCCAAAACAATTCTGAGAGAAATGGAACATCCATCACGTCTCCCATTTCCCAACATAGCCCAACACTGGCATGGCACAAGGTGGGAAGTTACAAGAAGATTTGAGAACCAGGAAAAGGGAGTCGTCCTGATCCTTACTACCTCAAGGACTTAATCCACCAGGAGAGAGAAGGAGCCAGGAACAGCTTTCTGAAGCTTAATCTTGGGCAGCATTTTTTTCTACTTCTCATAGTTTCTGCTAGATACTAGACTAGTAAAGAGAGAACTTTGTAAGTTTGAATTATTCTGCTACTAAGTAGAAATGACTGTAGATAAGATAGAACATTCGTAGAACTAGTGGGTTTCCTGAGGGCCTACACCCGGTAAGAAGAGACCCCACCTGGTCCGATGTGGGTTCTTAAGTCTACCCTGCTTGGAAATGACTACCCCAAACTACTCTCTACCCCTATAACGTACCACCGGGAGAGGGCAGAGAACGTGTCTGTCTGAAAGACAGCTCTGTGTATAATAGTATCCTACATACTCCCCAGTATCATGCCCTAGTGTTTAATAAAATGAAAGAGACTTAAAGGAAACTCAGTGAATTCAGGGCACACTGAAAACGTCGTGGGGTCAAGACACAAATAATATCTGAAACATAGGTGTTATAAACACACGTTAATAAATGAGTCGATGACATAGTCATTTCTTTCTTTTTTTTTTTTTTCTCCCAGAGCTGAGGACTGAACCCAGGGCCTTGTGCTTGCTAGGCAAGCGCTCTACCACTGAGCTAAATCTCCAACCCCCAGAGTCATTTCTTTTAGGTTTGTTGTATGTGGGTTTTCATCTTCCCTAGACAGCAGCATCTCCCTCCCTCTCCTCTCTTCCCAGGGCTTTCCATCCACAGCACCTGGACAAACTTTGACTCCGTTTAGTTCAGCCTGCTTGCTGACCCCTGACTCTTCTATCTGGACTCATTACCACACAGTGCTCCCAGATTTCAAGATACTTTCGAAACATGAGGCAATGACCCGCTTTATCCTGGCTCTATCTGCGATAGCGTCCTCTCTGAACCACCTCAGCTCTTCAGAGTGCCGTGAGGGGCATTATGACTTCATTCTGACAGTGGTGTTCCCCTCAGATCTCACTATCGGGATTTCTGGGAAGCTTCCTCGGGCAGCTGGTCCCACACAGAGGGAGTCATCTGCATGCCTCCATCAGGGCCTCCACCAGGCCTTTCAAGGGCTTTGCTTCCTATTTCCTGCCTTTTTGTTGGAAAGGAATACAGTTAAGTGGTACAGATCATGGCTTTACAGTTAGACTCCCTTTTCATTCTCTTAGCTATCTGGGCCGATTACTTAACATCTTTGAACTTATATTTTTCTCATTTGTAAATTAGGAATGATTATTTATGCCACAGGGTTATTGTGAGGATCGAATACTTAACTGGCTGCGGATAACACACACCTGCTAGAGATCAAATCAGGCCTATTTGGTCCATCCACGGGGCAGTGAGACTGCAGGCAAGGCACTTTGAAGGAAGGAGAAAGAAATTCAGATCACTGAACAGCGGATGAAGAAGGCTGAAAGGGTTACTTCTCTGTACTCATTCAATGCTTAGAAGGACCCAGACTAAGAGGTAAAATTCAGGGGGTAAGGAACTTGCTCCACTGCTATGCCCCGTGTCCTTCCCCTGTTCCCCACTACAACACTCTGGAACCCACTAAGGCATTTGATTATTTCATTGGCCTGCTTTGTGATGAATCTATGCATTTATCTTTATAGACATTTATTATAATATTTAATATTATAATATATAGTTTATATATTAATATAAAATATAATACAATATATTTTATCTATTTCTCACATTTAAGACTCAAACTTTTTGTACATTCAGTTCTTACCTCTCTCCCACTTCCTTTACTGGCCTCAAGATGTTCTGTGACCCCTGCTCCAACTTCTCTTTTCCTCTTAATAAGCCTCTCCCCCCACCCCCACCCCCACCCCACCCCCCGGCCTGGTTTCCTGGCAAACTCTTTTCTCATCTCTGGTCTCATTCCCCTCCTCCTCTCAGTTCTCAGTCATTCCATTTGCAGGGCCTGGGCTTACCATGTTCTGGGACTGTGTGTGCTGGCCTCAGCAGGATCACTATCAGAGGCCCAGTCTAGCTCCGTGCATATCAGGCTGGGGAAATCAAGAGTCCCACAGACTCAGGAAAACAGTCCCCCAGGCCGGTGAGCACTGATGGTGTTTGGGGGGTCACTTCAATGCAACTGAGAGGTCAGGGGATAAAAGCTGTAGGCCTGGGATCTGCAGCAAGTGGGAACACTAGGTTTTAAAAAGTACAGTTTGCTGTCTTTACCGACCCGCATGACCTACACTGAACTTACTGAGCCTGTGCTCTTGGCTTACTGAAACATGAGCTTACTGGAAACCCTGCCACCTGTCTCTTCCAGACGAGCTACAGAAAGCAGTTCACCAAGCCCTCTGCCCCCCCAAATTCAAATTTTTAATTGAGATCTCCTTAGGTTTAAAGATCAATTCAAGGAGAACTGGCGATTTTTCAATCCTGACAGTCCCATCCCAGAGCACGTTCATACCTGCAGTCATTTTAGGAAATCTTCATTATATTTATTATTATTACATGCAGACATATCTGTGCTTGTAGAGGCTGGAAGACATCGTGGTAGAGTTGGGTCTATCTTTACGTGGGCGCCAGGGAGTGAACTCAGGTTGTCAAGCTTGCACGGCCTCTGCCCATCAAGCCACCTCTTTTACAGAATGAATTTTTCTATCTGTATTTTTACCGGATTATTCTTCCCCAACACTTGCTGTGTTTTCCTCATTTGGGATTGATTACAGATTGTTACTATATTTTTCCATATTGAACATTAAAAAACTAATAAACAATTATGCATCTGCAAGTTTCTGTCCTAATCACTGTTCTGAGCGTACAATATCTTCCCTTCTTGAACCAAGTGCTTGCTTCAGGAGCACATACACTAAAATTGGGAGGAAAAAATTCTTAGGAGAAAGTGCACAGGAGGCATATGCTTTGAATCCTTGCAGATTAGAAAATGCCCATGTCTTCCAGCAGAGTACATAGCTCAAAACTCAAATTTATTTCCTTTTCTGAGGGGTAGAGAGATAGACGGCTCAGTGGTTAAGAACACTGATCACTCCTACAGAGAGACCTGGGTTTTGTTCCTAGCACCCACACAGTGGCTCACAGGGCCTTTGACGCCCTCTTCTGACTTCGTCAGGCATCAGGCGTGTACATTGTGCACATACACACACACAGGCCAAACCTAGACACATAAAATAAGTAAATGTAAAAAATTTTTTAACGATTATTTTCTTTTTAATTCATGCCTCATTGCTACCTCACATTCAGTTACTTGAAAAGCAATCTCATTTTTATTTCTTTTTGGCAATGTGTCTCTCTTTTCTGGATATGTCTAAAGCTTTCTCTTTGTCCTTTCTTAGCTCTGAAATGTCCCTAGGATTTATCTGAGTGAAGATTTTCAGGAGTTTGTCTCACCTGATACTTGGGCGGGTGCCAGGGAAGCCCTGAGCCTTGCTTGGGTTGGAGCGGTTTCCCAGGACTGCTCTGTGTGTCTCTTCCCTAACAAGTTTTGCTTGGCTCAGGGCGTTCCTTTCCAATGGAAGGAGGCTTTGGAATCCATCCTTTGTGAGTCTGCATTGTTTGCTAGGACTGTCTTCACCAGATGCCATAGAGCCAGCTCATGACATTGGGTGGCTTCAACATCCCAAAGGTGTTTTCTCAGTTCCGGAGGCTGGCAAGTCCAGTGCCGTGGGGCTGGCCCAGGTCATTTCCTGCGTGCACACAGCTCTCTTCTGCCCAGCAGAGGAGAAACCTAGTTTCCCCTTCATCCTCCCCATGTTGGATTGGACTCTATAGGATCTCATGAACTTTCGTAGACTCCACAGAGCTCTGACCTCCAAATGTAGTGAGTGACATGTAGCTAGAGTTTTCCTGCCTTGCCCACAGTCAGGACAAATCTTTGTCACCCGCCAGTCCCAGAGCCGCTCAGACCCAACCAAGTAAACACAGAGACTTATATTGCTTACAAACTGTATGGCTGTGGCAGGCTTCTTGCTAACTGTTCTTATAGCTTAAATTAATCCATTTCTATAAATCTATACCCTGCCACGTGGCTCGTGGCTTACTGGCGTCTTCACATGCTTCTTGTCATGGCTGGCAGTGTCTCCCTTTCCCTTCCTGTTCTTTCAATTCTCCTCTCTGTTAGTCCCGCCTATACTTCCTGCCTGGCCACTGACCAATCAGTATTTTATTTACTAACCAATCAGAGCAACACATTTGCCTTACAGACCATCCCACAGCAGTGACACACTGTATGTGTGTGTATGTGTATGTATATATGCATGTGTGAAGAGCTTCAGCATACAGATAGAGGTATGGGACATAATTCAAAGCACTGTCAATTCTTCACAATTTTCCATTCTTTTCGTATGTTTTCCTATTTAGATTTTGAATCACTCATTTCTGCGCTCCCCGCCATATATGTCCCTGTTAGTCAACCCATCCACTACTTTATTTAGTTTTACTATTTTACTTTTCAACCTCTTTTTTTCTTTATTTGTTCTTTTTTTATGTTTTTGATATTTTTTTATTTAATTTTATTTTATTTTACAATACCATTCAGTTCCACATAACAGCCACAGATTCCCTTGTTCTCCCCCTTCCTGCCCCCCACCCCTTCCCCCCAGCCCACCCCCCATCTTTATTTGTTCTTTTCCAAAGTAACCTGCACAATATCCCAGGCATCTTTAAGGAGAACGCTACTTACAGCATTTGTCTCTTCAGTTACCCTGTTTTCCTCTGGGCTTAGCTTCCAACTTGCTCATCTCTGTCTTTTTGAAACAGTTAGGTTTCCTCAGGGATCTGGTGATCCTGGGTTTCCTAGTCCTGTCTATTTTTTGAAGGGCCTATTAATTAGTGGGTATGCTGTTCAAGTTTGCAACTCCAATATTGAGATATTTATTTCTGTCCAGGATTCTCTGGTGAACGGGAGGGGAGCCTGGACTCTTCAATAGGACATCTCCCCCGTAAGATGCAGGGGGGCTAGAAGGCAAGCTTGAGGACCAGTGTCCTCTCCACCCCTGCCCTTTCCTTAGAGGAAGACACAGCTGACACACAGGAGGAGTTGGGACAGCCCTTCTTCCTCTCTTTGTGTAGGGGTGGCTATTCTTCTTTATTCACAGGCTCTCACATTCAGACAGCTGCCTTCCCAACACGGTGTCTTAGTACTTCATGGCCTCTCTCCCACATATGACACACGGATGCATGCGCACACAAGCACATGTGTGCACATGCATGTACACGCTAAAGCTCTCCGAGGCAGAGGACAGGGGAGCTGAACCTGTTGCCTGCTCAGAAGGCTGTGGAATATTAATAACCCTGATGACTGATTCACAACTCCTATTGTGTGTCTCAAAAATGGAAAGAAACAAAATCCACCTTGAGTAAATGAGAGACCCAAGGTTCAGGTAGGTTAAGAGCACAGACTCAAAGTGGCTCCAGAGCTGACTCTAAGGCCCTTCTGTTTGTTTACACTGCTATGCCCTGTTTCCATCATATTCCTTCTCTTTCCTCTTGAAAGTGTTTATCTTTACGTCTTGCATTAAGACATAATTCACTGGGGTGAGGGGTGGGGTGGGAGGGAAGTGCAGTTTCCTTGGCTGTAGACTCTTGCTTCTATTTACCTACCCAACAACATTTGACAGGCAGTCGTCAGTGTAAATTTTGTGGGCCAACTAGGTAGAGCAGTTAATTACTATTATGCTATTATCTGCACATAATTACACATTAGAGTGGTGCAAGTATTTTATTGGAGGTCTTTAAGTTTTTTATTATGTCCACTAAATTAAAGATCTGGGGTAAAAATAAAGCTAGGTTGCAATTCAAAATGAAAACTGGAGGAAAGTTCAAAGTTCAGCTTCTGGCTGGAGTTCTTCTAAACCCTGATCAATACGTCTGTGTAGACAGACAGGAGACAATGACACACTTTCTGATGTTTCTTGTTAGCTTCTGGTTCACTCTGTTAGTTCAGAGAAGAGAGCCCTCTAAAAGAGACAGGATCATGTCTGATGTCCATAAAGGTGGGATGACCTGGGTTGTTCTTCTTGGTCTCCCTTGGTTCATTCATGCACTCTTTTAACAAATAGTCATTGTGTGCCTGATTCTCAACCTGTCTACCCAGGGAGGCTTTCCAAAGTATCACGAGCTGCTTTCACCCCTAAAGTAATGGAGCTTTGGTCCTCGCAATTTTAAAGCTCCTTAAGCAATTATGATACACAGGATGAGAACCACCGATCGGTGACATATGTTGTTCTGTGCTCACAAGTGGGGACATAAATAATAATCCTGCTCTTACTGAGGGCATACTATGTTTCAGGTGTTGTGCTAAATCTTACATTTACCCCTCCACAACCCTAGAAATAGGAATTATTCTTATTGTATAGGTGGGCTGAAAAAGGATAGCTAGCTCGCCCAGAGTAGAACATCTGGCCAAGCATGGCCTCCGGGACAACAGCCATCATTCTGCAGTCGGCTCTAACCGTAGTCCAGTAAACAATGGAATGACAGGAGGTAAATATCAGCAGAAGTGAGGAGGCAGGGGCAGGCCGCAGGAGGAAGTACTTCAATTAAATTAAAGCAAAAACTAAAAACCAAAAACCAGGCCCCAGCAGAGTGCCTCAGGCGCAGGCTTCCCAATCTGTTTCGCTAGAGCTCAGCCTGCCTTCCACAGAACTCCTTCCTCACTTCCCCCTGTTGAAAATGCTGGGATGCGCACAATCATCCTAACAACATTTCAACGGGAAGGCTGAAGTCATACACAATTACTCATGCAAATCTCAGGACAATGCGTTCTTTTGTGCGCCTCTCATTCACATATATAAAGCTCACTCTGTTGGTTTTTTTTTTTAAGTCTTTGT